CAGTTTACTCCGGATCTAAGGCCAGAGCGGTGGTCGGGGTCGCAAACCCTTCGAAGATCAAGTCTCCTCGGATATCAGCGACATAATTTAGGTTCCCAAAACTAACCTGATGACCTAGGGCATAGCTGTCGATCTGTTCGAGGTGTCCAATTGAGTTGGCATGCAGAGCAAAACCGCCGAACACAAAAATTTAACCGGGAGGGAAAGTTTCTCCCGAAATAGTATCGTTGTTGATGATCGAGCGAGCCATCAAACCTTCTGTCGACGGCACAGTGGAACTCTCAATGAAAGCACCAATGTTGGTGTCAAATCCGGTCGATCTCGGGTAGGGGGTCCCGAACTGTGCGTCTGAGGATCGAAGGTAATAAGAGACAAGGGGGACACGATGTTTACCCAGGTTTGGGCCCTCTTAAGGGAGGTAAAACCCTACATCCTGCTTGATTGTATTTGATGAGTATATGGGTTACAAGAGTTGATCTACCTCGAGATCGTAATGGCTAAACCCTAGATGTCAAGCCTATATGAATTTTGATTGCCTCTACGGACTAACCCCTTCGGTTTATATAGATATCGGAGGGGCCTAGGGTTGTACAGAGTCGGTTTACAGAGGAAGGAAACTACACATCCGGATGCCAAACTTGTCATCCACGCAAAGGAGAGTCCCATCCGGACACGGGGAAGCCCTTCTACCTTGTATCTTCACGGCCCATCAGTCCGGCTCACAACACATGGGCCGGACTCTCGATGACCCCTTATTCCAGGACTCCCTCAACCCTGAATTACAATGTTTAGTCGCCGCTTGAACTTCGGATGTGCTCTGCATTTATGTTTTGTGGCCTCATAAGGGCTAGCGAGATACTATTTTGTCATATTATATCATGGCCGTTTTGACAAAGTTTAGCATTTGAGATATGTTATTATTGCTCTCTAGTTGATTATGCCATTGACATGAGTATGAGTTCTAAGTGTTATCATTTAGATGGCTAGTTCATGATCTTTGCTGAGAACTTATGTTACTAGTTAAGCTTATATACTACAACAGAAACAAAATAGTTTGTAAAAAATTCTTCATCACTTTCAGTTTCTCAACTGAACTGCTTGAGAACAAGTAATGAGTTAAGCTTGGGGGAGTTGATACGTCTCCAATGTACCGGCTTTTCTAAACACTTTTGCTCTTGTTTTGACTCTAATTTGCATGATTTGAATGAAACTAACCCGGACTGACATTGTTTTAGTAGAGCTACATTGATGTTTTTTTAACAGAAAGACTGTAAGGGAACCCCATACAGTATAATTGGTGCAACAAACCCAAATTGCAAGTACCATGCCTTGAACCTGGGTGGGTGGGAAGGCATCAGCCCTTTCCCACCACTAGGCTATGCCTTAGACGTTGATGTTATTTTTTGTGGACAAATAAAAAGTTCTCGGAATTGAACGGAATTTTGCGGAGAATTATTTTGGAATATATAAAAAGTACTAGCGCAAAGAGTTACCAGAGAGGGGTCACCACAGAGCCACAAGCTCAGGGACACTCCACTAGGGCACGCCACTTGAACGTGTGGGTCCCATGATGCTCCATTTGCCCTACCTCCAAGTCCATAAGTACAGTCTTCATGAGAACAAAATCAGAGAGAAAGTTTCATTGTGTTTTATGATACGAAACCGCCACCGCCTTCTGTTCTTCATCGGAGGCCTGATCTGAACTCCGTTCGGGGCTCTAGAGAGGGGAATTCGTCGCTGTCATCATCAACAACATCAAGATGCTCACCACTGGGAGTGAGTAATTTCATCATCGACATATTGGAGGTAGAGGGAGATGGATGAGATTCGTCATGTAATCGAGTCAATTTGTTAGGGCTTGATCCCTAGTATCCACTAGGACCTGAGTGCAATGATTCCTGATTTGCACTAATTATGTTTTCATGAATATGTTTGAGTTTTTTATCCTATTTGCAAGTTATACGCACCAGTTATTGTTCTTATCCTAGACCCTGATGTGACAATAATTGGGATACTCTTCGAGGATTACTGTAATTTGAGGAGATCAATTATTCACTATGTGTCAGTATTTTATTCCACTTCTTTATTAATTGGAGCACCTTAACTACCCTTAGTTTTCATTAGGACCCCGCTGCCATGGGAGGGTAGGACAAAAGATATTATGCAAGTTCTTATTATAAACACGTATGACTATATACGAAATACATGCCCACATACGATTGATGAATTGGAGCTATTGTGTGTCACTCTAGGTTGTGACTGTTACATAATGAATGTCATCCAAATATCCATCACTACTCCATGTCTACGCTTTACTCATATTGTTTTTGCTAAGTTACTAATATTGCTACTGCTATTGCAACTGCTACAAAATTCTTACTGTTATCACTGCTATCAAAATTACCTTATTATTGTGCTAGTAATATTTTGCTGCACAGAAACAACTTCTCAGGTGTGGTTGAATTGACAACTCAACTGCTAAGGCTTATAAATATTCTTTGGCTCTTGTTGTGTCGAATCAATAATTTTGGGTGAAATACTATCCTCAAAGACTGTAGCGACCCCCTATACTTATGGGTCATCAGGAGGTTTCGTACCATACTGCTACAGTAGTAAGAGCGAGACTCCTTTATAAGGGTTGCTCTATCACATGCCATTGGGAACTTGGGAAGAGGAGTTGTACACGCGCGCTCCTCCTCCTCCGTCGTCCGCCTCGCCTCGTCACGACGCGCACATGCTGCGGGTTGTGGGGATGAGCCGAGCCGAGCCTTTTTTTGTCAGTCATGAACGGTTAGTTAATTGTGGATTAACTTTTTTTTAGACAACCTCGCATGCTTTATTCACTCTCCATAATGTTTAACGGTACAAAATCAAGCTCTCCAGGCTGGCCCAACCACACATGACGGCCAAAACCCAGAGACAAAGCATACTTAGCGAGATTGTGAGCCTCGAAATTCGAGCTCCTAAACTCATGGACTACTTTACATGACATAAAAAAAATTAGCACGATGTATTATTTCATGCACTATAGCTCCCTATTCCGATGACGAGCTTTTGTGGACATCTTCTACCATCCGCTTGCAATCCGATGCAATCTGAATTGTAGATTAACTAACGAGTTGCTAACGAAAATGCCATTGAACGAGACGTTGGACCGTGGGCTGTTCGCAGACTCAATCATGGGCCTAAGCCCAGGCCCATCTACCCGACAACCTATATAAGGAGGCATTGGTCTGTGGAGTGAACCAGAACTCATTCCCTCCCTCCTGCATAACCCTAGCCGTCATCTTTTGTTCCTCTCTCTATGCTACTCCCGGCGATCCCATCCCGACGACAGCGTGCACGGTTGGTTGGGAGAGCAGGTGCCTCCGGAACCCTATCGTTCGAGATCCTATCCGGGAGAACAACAATAAGGTTTTTGGGGAGCGTCTCGACGCGACTGCTCCTGATCTGTCCCTGTCTTCGTCCTCCTCTGCTTCCACTACCTCCTCTACATCGACACCATGGCTGACGGTGCCGCCACCAAGAAGAAGGCCACGGACGCCGCCGAGCCTGCCGTCGTCGCCGCCGCGTTGGCCTGGCCAACCGGAGGGTATGATCTTTCCATCCCTCATTTTACTCGCCCATGTGCTAGTTGTATATGATGTGCTCATAGATGTTTCGATTTTATGTACTGTACGTACTTACATGCTTATGTATCGATATGAGTTGCGTACTGTGATTGCCATGCTTACTGTTTACTCGTGGATTAGATTAATCGATAAGGTGCTAATTTATCCAACGCAAACCATCCAAGATGGATAATAATGATTGGGACATCTCTAAGTAGAGATCCGTACAAACTCTAAGCTCCCGAGAGGTCCTGATCTACCGGTGGAAGTTGTAATTTCCCTTTCTTGGGACATTAGGCAGATCTTCGTCCTGCGGTGGCGAGAGATGGCATCGTCATCGGCGTGGAATAAAGTCTCATCACACCGTCCTCGTTTTGGTGACACTTCTTTTGCCACACCAGGAGAGGTGTGGATGATGGTGTGTCCTTAGGTCATGTTCTTCCAGCTCAGTGTTTTCTTCTGCAGATTTTTCACGGTCATGTTGTCATCCAGAGCAGACAACGTGGCTATACGTCAAGGGCCGCGTGGGATTTGTGTTCTCTAACTCCGTCCGACTGAGACTAGGGCATTTCAAAGGCTCTCTTCATAAAAAAAGAATTCTCCTGCGTGACGATTTTCTATGCAAATTTTTAGCCGCGGGCTTCTCTGGTCTACATCAACAATTTCTCGAACGCTGCTTTTATACAAGCTCCTAAGTTTAAACAAGTTTGCTCCGTTGAGACGAAAAAGACACAGAAACAACAACGAGTTTTGCTCGATGCGCATAGACGATGGATGCAGAAGGAAAACTTCAGCACCCTCAAGGTTTGTGTAAGGATGTTTTTGTAAGGGTATGTGCTACTCCCTCCGTAAACTAATATAAAAGTGTTTACATTACTATTAAACACTCTTATATTAGTTTACGGAGGGAGTACTTACTATACGGCCTTTGCCTTTTTCAAAAAAAAGAAAAAAGAAGTCCACATCAACTGTTTGATTCGGAGGCGAACCACCCAATCGTGCGGCCGTGGCCCACGACGGTCCGTCGGTCACCCGGGGGGCACATCACAACCGTTGCCGACACACCCACGCCGTGGACAGGCGATAAACATCACCAAACAAATCGAATTTGGAGCCGAATAAAATTCATATACGAAAACCGAAATCCGGAAGGGAAAGCGCAAAAAAGCCCGCACCTTGGTGGCTTCGTGCTACCAAATCGAACCCGAGGACCCCCACCCCCCTCCCCCTCCCCGTCCCGTCTCAAGCGCCGGTAAACTTCGCCACGCCCCAATCTCCATTCGCCACAAACCCTAACCGCCCCTCTGCGTCGCGCCGCCGGCCGCCCCGCCACCCTCCTCGCCCTTCCAGGGCCCCGGCGAAGGCTGTAACCCGCGGGGAGCGGCGGCGATGGCATCCACGGCGAAGGTCACCATCACCCTCGGCCGCAGCGGCCAGGTGAGCCGTCGGCTCGGATCTCAGGGCTCTGACGCTCGTGGGATTCCTCTGTATCTTGATTGCTCGTCTGTGATTCGGCTGTGCCCCCGTCGCCGGTTTGGTTGATTAGAAACGAGACGGATGATCGGATGTAGTACAGCTTTAGTCAAGCCGTAGCTCTAGCGCGCGCGGCGAGATGCTCAGTTTCCACTAGTCATAGCTGCGATTTTGGTGCGCTCAGTGGTGGATACATTGTTGGCTTGAATTTTCATCTCTCCCGAAGGTTCTAACTTCTAAGTGAGTGTTGCATCAAAGGGTGTTGTGATTTCCTGTAGGTATTGATTAGGGATGAGTAAAGTTACGTGATTTACTTAGTTGTTGACAAATGGTGAGTTAACGGTAGTTTCTAGGTGTCTTTGCCTCTGGTGGGTTTGTGGGTGTGTTGGGGAGTAAGTACATGGTTTTCACGATTAGAGACAAATGTCACTTGAATAGCTAGCCCCGTAACACATTTTTGAATTGAGGGGAAACCACTGTATTGGGGATGTTTTCTTGTAACTAGTGTTCAAACCTTCAGGTCATGCCCTGTTGTCCAATGGTTGATTGCTCTCTGCTGGCTGTATTGACTATTATCATATTGCAAGTCCTGAATTCAGAGCTGTGTCGGTGTTAACCATAAGGTGATAGAAGAATGCATGTCAATTCATCTCCTTCCTGTTTGCACTTGTACAATTTTTGGCTGACCAATTCAGCTACCACTTCATTCCATGGCTGGTTATGTTTTCTTTTTGTTTTTTTTTAGATAATGGGGTGCTGGTAAGTACTACTCCCTCCGTTCCTAAATATAAGACCTTTTAGAGATTCCACTATAGACTACATACGGAGCAAAATGAGTGAATCTACACTCTAAAGTATGTCTATATACATCCGTATATAGTCCATAGTGAAATCTCTAAAAGGTATTGTATTTAGGAATGGAGGGAGTAGTAACTATCTTGAAGTTGGTAACAGACCCCCTTTTTTCAGGCCATTCTGTGTTGTGAATGTTACCATGGATGCCAGTATCTTGATTGTGTATTTAAATATATTTTTATTTCTTTTAAGGCTTCAGAATGCTGCATCAATTATTCAACTTTGCCCTCCTCACTTTATTTTTTTGGATTGCAGGTTGTCAAAAGGCGAACTATTTCTGATATGGGTAACGATGATGAAGTGCCAGTATCAGGAAGAAAGCGACCTGTCCGAGAGAGGTTAGGAAATAATGTGGCTGATTCTGATTTGTATGGAAGTCAGCAGAGTAATAAAAGGTATATTTGCTTCATCTACATTACTCAATGTTTATTGAAACAGTGTTGCAAAGTTTTTAATTAGAAGCAGTATACACAATGACCCTTGCATATCAGATGTTTCAGATGGTAATGGAAATGGAGTGAATCCCTTTGTGGTGTTTCACCCCCTATTGTGTGTCATGGCTTCAGTTTTACAGTCCTCCATACTCTATGTTCTAATGCATGCTAGTGTCAGCTTGTCACTTTATATGTTCACTTGTCAAGTAGGACCCTGCCAGTTTATTAGTTATAATTCTACATCACATGTCTCTTTTATTCTTGTCCCTGCATGTTTTGTTATATTCAGTGAAGTATATTGCACTGTGTGTGTCTCTTTTGCATATTTATTATTCAATTTTAGCTACCTTTGTACAGATGTTGCACTTTTACTTACTATCTTTATTTTGTTTAATAAAGAAAGCACTTGCTATCTGCAAGTTCCATTGGCTGTCTTTATGTTCAATTACTTCGCGTGCTCCAGACTGCAGCTCACTGCATGTCTCTTTCTGTCGTGTCCTCAGTTTGAGCATCTGTTGAAAGTGTTTGCTTATAAATTTTTACTCTCTTATATTACTGTTCCCTGCAGACGGCAAACAGAAAGCAGTAGCTCGCAGCTTGGAGATGATGGTTTGGGTGACGATAAACATTTCATTTCCACTATCAGTATTCTAAGATTTCAATACTGAGCTGTCTGCCTGACACTTCCTTTTGTTTTCCTGCATACGTTGGGCTGTATAATATTGAAGCTCGCCAGATTGGCAGGGATGATTTAAGGCTGAAGCTTATGAGGAAAGGCTTGACACAGAAGAGCAACAGTGAGGCAGAACAGAATGGAGTGGATCTCCGTGAAAAGCTTTCCAGGAAGTCAAAGAAACTCCAGGGATACGAGGCAAGAAGGGGTGATCCAGAATCAAGGTCTAGTTATGATGAGGGGGAAATCCCAGAATCAGGATCTGGATATGGTTTGAGGGGGAGAGTCCCAGAGTCAAGAGCCTCTACTCTTGTAAGCCAAGTGCCTTCGTCAAGGAGTGCAGATGGGTTGTTCAAGTTGGAGTCTTCAGGAAAACCTTATCCCTCGTGGACCGCTGATTGTTTGAGGTATACGTCCCCAGACAAGCTTCCAAGTGTTCGAAGAGACATGACTCCCCCAAGAAGTGTTCGAAGAGGCATGTCTCCCCCGAGGGCCGTTCGGAGAGGCATGTCTCCCCCGATAAGTTCTCGAAGAGGCATGTCTCCCCCAAGAAGTGCCCGAAGAGGCATGTCTCCTCCAAGAAGTGTTCGAAGAGGCATGTCTCCTCCAAGAAGTGTTCAAAGAGGCATGTCTCCTCCAAGAAGTGTTCGAAGAGGCATGTCTCCCCCAAGAACATATGATCATACAGGGTCCATTCCATCCCTTCGATCTGTCGGTACCACAAGACCTTCTAGTCATATCACAAGAGATGCTGCTGACACGTTAAGAACCCATCAACCTTACGAAGACAGCTCTACCATTGGGATCGATAGAGGACAACAAACTAATGGAATCACACAATCTGGACGCCGGCCTACATCCCCTGTGCTGGTTTGTATCTCTCTCATATATCTGAAATTAGCCTGGCTTCTAAATGTTCACTTTATTGCTTTATTTTGTGCTCTTCCTTTTCAATGGTCTTTTGGGACAGTATCTGTTGTTTGTCCTACAATGTTGTTGGTGCCGTGAAATTTGTCAATTATGATTTGAGAAGGAACTCGAATGTGAACTTATTACAAACTATCTCTGCCTATAAGGTTCATCTTGCACTTTGGTTAGGTTCCAGTGATGTATTTGCTTAGTGCTGCTCAATACAGCAGGCTTCATAGTTCGTAGAACACCATGAGACATAAAGTTGACATTGGTAAAACGTGGTCATTGCTATGTATGCAATATATCATCATGTGTGCTGACCATTAGCTCAGTTTTCTCTTCATGTTGCCCTTGGTTACAGGCTTATAGCTGAATTTCTGTTCACTTTGCCTATAGTTGTTGATGTGAGAATTTTTCAACATCAAGTTATGCTGACCAATTGCGAGTCTTGTGTCGATTATATTAGCGAGTTTCTGGTTATGCAATCATTCTGTTATGTGATTTTGCTCCAGATTTTCTGACATTATTCTGTGTGATTTGCAGAAAGAAGTACCGTCGACAGTTACTGGATTACTGAATTCAATGGGACTTGAGAAGTATGTTGTTCTCTTTCAGGCTGAGGAGGTGATTTTCCGTTATCTTGATTGTTTCCAACTTTTAAATCCATATTTATAATGCCCAAATAGACATATTTCCTGCGGATAATGGGTTATCTGTTTGCTACCCATAGTGCTCATGTATTAGCATTTGATGCCTTCTGTTTGATGTTTTGCATGGAGTTATGAATTTATGCCCCCGAGGGGCTCTAGCTGTTATTTTTGTATAATCTGGACAATTCATTACATTCTCTATCCTTTCGGTCTCTTATCTCTCTTCTTTCACAATTATCTTTCCATTAAAACTATTTCATTCCTATGCATGTTCCTCTGTTGACTCTACCCTATTCGATCTTTCAACTACTACCATTGGATGTTTCCTTCTTTCTTTCTTCAAGATCCAGAATGTGTTCGTCAGTCCATTCAATTCAAGTATACTCTTGAATCCATGAGTATGTTTAGACATATATGTTTTATTATGGAGTGTTCATTTTCCTTTGTATTTACTTGTTTGCAGGTGGATATGGCCGCATTGAGTCAGATGAAAGACAGCGACCTCAAAGATATGGGAGTACCAATGGTAGTGTTTGTCGTTCAATTACTAGCCGCTTTACATGATACATCGTGATTTTCTTGCTCTGAGTATGTTTTTTCCTAAAAGCTACTATATCTGATTACACTGGAAACATCAAATATTAACGGGATTGAAATGATAGACATGAGTTGCATGCTTTCAGCACAACCGAACTTGATAGTAGTTAGGAATAGTGTCTGCATTGCATGCTATGTTTTTTCGTTGTAATTTCGTTAGCATGCTTCTAGTACTTGAACATGCATAATGGAGGAACTTACCTTCAGAATCTAGCAAGAGCATGCCAAATATACATAGTACTTACTCCCTCCGTCCCATAATATAAGAGCGTTTTTGACATAGTAGTAATTACCGCTTTGGAGTCCTGTAGAAGATAGGCTTTCTCTTGTAGTTTTGACTAGAGTAACACCATTGTATTGGATCAGGGCCCCAGGAAGAAGATACTCCTTGCGGCGGCACCTTACGGAAAACAACGGCAAAGATGAGCAGCATGTGCTCTGTGACGTTGAACATTTGCTGGGAATGCATTTTTATTGGTGTAAGCATGCTCTAATGCGGATCTTGTATATCCTCACTGGTAGTCTGGCTTAGTTAACCTTTTTTTTTGTTGCTGATAGATTAATGTCGCCCTGTTCTTGGCTTGTGTAAAGTCATGTCTTGTCAGCTGATGCTCCGAATCGTACCACTGGCGGCGATATGCTGCCCTGCTGTATTTGTTAACAGCAGTAGGGTTTGAAACAGAGTGGATACAACATGGTCTAGCGCCATCATCAATCTGGACTTCCTGTATTTTGGGGAACATGATGGGGGATACAACTAACCCAATCTATTATGTATGCCAAATGGCCATCGAATTCCACCAGTCTTGTGCATGGAGGAAGTAGTAGATTGTTTTTTCAGTGTGACTGCTCCTACCTATATTTGTTCAACTGTCAATCTTTGCCATATGGATTGTGCATAGTTGTGTTGCCTGTATACCAGAGTTACCCCGGGTTTTCAATTAGTGTTGTTCTTGAACGATGTTTAGGACGCTCTACTCTATAACTGTATTGCTAGGATAGAGCAGCGTTTAACATCATGAATTACTAGCAGGAAATGGTTGATTATGCACTGCAGCTGAGTAGCGACGGCTCAGCAGAACCCGTGCAAGCTGTCGTGCGCCAGTTCTTTCATCTGTTATCATTGTACAATGACGCGAACTATTGGCCCTGGAAATGGACGTGAATGTTTGGCCTAATCATTTGCTATCCATGCTATCCAAACTGTCACAATGGAAGGCACCGAATCGAAAAAATCAGACCGTCCATGCACCACCAGATGCCTCCCTGCACCGGCATCGGTCCAGTCGAGGGTCCACCATTAAAACGCAACCGAAAAAAGCTTCAGCCGACATGAACCGGCCCGGGGCGGCCAAAATCACTGTTCTAACCTTAACAGTAATCTTTGTCACAAAATGAATTTGACTTAAAAATACTTCACAATCTGACCCTTTTGAAAACGCCAGATTCTGTGGTGTTGCTGAGACACATAGAAACGTCGAGGTATGCCGTGTTTCTGCTTCGTATGAAAACGCCGACGTATGCCGCGTTTTTGCTCCATATGAAAACGCCATAGTTGTTGGCGTTTCTGACTGACATGCAAACGCCATGGGTGTTGGCGATTCTAAATGGCCCTAGCCTAGATGCTCGCCATCATGTACCGGCTGACAGCCCTAGCCTTACTGACAGAAATCTAGGGCGCCGGTGCATTTTCTATTGACCGTGAAAAGCAACAAACAAACAGCCCGACCTGCCATCTAGCTCAAAGGACGGCACCATGCTCCACACTGCTACCCCACGTGACCACATAGAATGATTCACTGTTGCTAACAAGAGTTGTTAGTCAGTGTGATTTACTGAAAGTAGGAATTAAACATTTTCCAGCGTGAGTTACTTGAAGTAGGATTTTAACATTTTTGGTATGGCGGTTAAACAAGAATTAGTCTCATACATACTATTAGATTAATTTATAAGTGTGGCGTCTGTTATATTTTAAAAAAAATCAAATAATGCCCAATGTTATTCTTGTCACAAATCATGTTAAACTATAAAACTATACTCTGTCATCTAAAATCTTCATTAGACAGTCTTCTAGTTATTTTTATTTTTTATCCATCTTTTTTTACTCGGCCAAATATATTGCGAATTTGATTGCCAAATATTGCATTTCTGGCTATCAGCAACTACATTTCGCTTGTGATTATTTTAGGAGTACATTTTGTCATATAGTACTCAGGGAAATCTCTTGGCTCGCTCAAGATTTTGGAGGATTAAAGTTAAGAAATTTCTTACAATATGAAGCCCATAAACTGTATTAATAGTTTCCTTGCAATTTAGAGTCTTCTATAGTTGTTTTTAGATTTTAACAATCTGTTTTTATCCGGCCAAATGAACCAGCTCATTAGATTTGATTGATGATCTGCGAACTAATTTGCGAAACATGCATTACCTGCAAGATTAACGCAGGGTGTCAACATCACATCGCACTGTGCATGTTGCTACAGTGGCAGTATGTCATTAGACAAAAGTTGCTGCATGCAATCTGCCCCACCACCCATCAAACATCGTCATCGTCAGGTCAAGTCACTTTTTGAATGCCTACCCTGCTGCTCCTTCTCACGAACCATGTCCATGTGTACCCCTTCGCATAGTTGGCATCGTTGTTCCAACCATGTACGCCAGCAACGCCACCACCTATGGCGTTTCCATGTCAGGAAGAAACGCCGACACCAATGGCGTTTCCATGTGGATCAGAAACGTTGCATACCTCGGCGTTTTAATGTGGATAAAAAACGCAGCATACGTTGGCGTTTCTATATGTCGTAGCAACGCCGCGGGATCTGGCGTTTCTAAAAGGGTCAGATCATGAAATACTTTTAAATCGAGTTTATTTTATGACAAAGATCAATGTTAAGTTCAGAACAGTGATTTCGGCCGCCCGGCGCTGTACAAGAAAAAGGCAGCAGCCAATGTTGCCTTGCCCTCCCATGTGCCAACCCCAACGGCCGGCAATCTGCTCGTGTCACCTTCGTTGCCGTTGGTCGCGTGATTATGCTACGTTCCGTGTATCCGCCGCCGGTAGCTGCGTAATAACCGCAAGAGGAGCATTCGGCGGCGGCAATTGAGCGTTCCGTGATGACTACGCGGAATGTATGTATGACTGAAAGTAACAACGCATGCACAAGATGAACCAGTCCAGGCGACGATAACGACTTGCGTAACAGAAAGGGAGGTGCCAACGGCCCAGCGCCACTCGCCGAATTGGACGGCCTTCGTCGCTCGCTTTTCGATTCACAAGACCGAAAAGCATCACAATTCACGAGTTCATTCAGAAAATCAGAGAGCGGACACGCACCAAAATCCAATCCTAATATCGCCCAATTTTCACCGGACTAGCGACGGCACAACATCAGGCAAAGCTGTAGCAACGCGCGCGGTCGCCGGACCTAGTCGAGGATGTCGCACTGCCGCCTGACGACGCCCTGCCGCCCCGTCTTGACGCCGACGGTGCCGAGCTTCTGCATGGCCTTGGCGAAGTCCTGGAAGAAGGCGGTCCGGTTGTCGGCGTACTGCTGGACGAACACCTTGGTGGGCGGGTACTCCCACAGCGCGGCGTCGGAGGCGAGCAGCCCCAGGCCCCGGGGCAGGTTCTTGAAGTAGAGCTCGTCGAACTCCCGCGGCGTCACGATGTCGTTGAAGATGGAGATGTCCGGGTTGCTCTCGTAGCCGGCGCAGGAGCTCTGCAGCGCCCGCGCGAACTCCGGGTTCAGCGACGGGTCGTGCCCGCTGGCGCCGCCGCCCTTGCCCTTGTAGTTGTACACCCGGTGCGCGAACTCGGAGCAGTGGGAGAAGCCCACGGTGTGGGCGCCCGCCAGCGCCACCATCTCCTGCGGCGTGATGCCCTTGCGCGCGAACAGGACCGTCATGGCGCGCGCCGACATGTTGGTGCGCGGGAGGTTGCCCTCCACGTCGCGCGCGTCGGAGCGGCGCGCGTCGCGGCGGCCGAGGGGGACGGGGAAGCGCGGCCCGCCGAGGATCCCCACCAGGTCGCGCGCGGCCAGCGCGAGGATGTCGGCGCAGGAGACGGTGCCCGGGCAGGCGGCCTCCAGCGCGGCCTTGGCGCGGGCCACGGCGTCGAAGGCGTCCCCCGGGAGGGAGAGGTTGATCTCCGCGGCGCGCTCCGGGGTCCGGTCGGAGGAGAGCGGGGAGACGAGGACGGAGGCGTCGCAGCCGGAGACGAAGCAGTCGTGGAAGAAGAGGCGCAGCGTGCCCGCCGCCGTGGACGGGTTGGCCTGCTGCTTGGCGGCGACCACGTCCGAGACGATCTGCTCCGCGCGGGGGCAGCTGCGGCTGTAGTACGACGTCGACAGCCTGGCCGCCGCCGCCGCCGCGCCGGGGGCCGCGGCGGCGGCGAGGAGCGCGAGGGAGAGGAGGACGCGGCGGAGAAGCGTGCCCATGTCGAGAGAGAGAGAGAGAGAGAGAGAGGGGTGGAGGTGGCTGGATTTGGAAATGAGAGAGACGGAGATTGGGGTGAGGGGAAAGGAAAAGGGCGGTGGGCTGGAGAAGGGAAGAACGGTGAAGTGGGAGGATTAGTGATGACTGATGAGTGAAGTAATTGTGGGGTTTAAGGTTAAGGGGAAGGGTGGTGCGGTGGCCTCCCTGGTAAAGACGGGTGGAGCTCGAGGACGGATGGACGGATGTTCCTGCCGCAACCGCGGTGAGTTCTTTATAAGCGGAGGTGGTCCACGCTCCAAACTCTGCAGTGGATTTTGTTTTTTCTTCGAATATATAAACATGACTTTTTTTAGGAAAAGGACACATATTCATTAAGAAAAATCATCAAAAGTATACAAAACACTTCAAATGTAATAAAAATTACTCATGAATTACCGAACCACCACTATCATCGTCAGAAAGAACCGCTAATGTGCTGCTGCCATTGCTCCTCTATCAAAGTCGACCTGACCTTGTCGATAAAAGCCGAAAAGTCTTTGCGCATGTGTCCCTAAGAATTAGCGTGCTGGAGCCGCAGTCGTCGTTGAAGCACCTGACATCAAATATCGCCGCGGCGCAAGCACCACAAGAAACCCTAACCCCCCTCCCTCCCAAGGAGATGGCAGACATAAATCTACGTCGGAGCTTCACCGACTTCATGCAAACGGACGAGCTCGAGGAGGATTGAAACCCGAAAGAGCAGCTCGAGGAGGAACCGTCGCCATCCGTCCCATCGCAAAACATGTGATGACTAAAAAACTCTGACCTAAACTACTCATATGCCTAGGGAAAATTACTCACACGTGAGTGGAAATATCATGATGATGGAGAAGAGGTTGTTGACAACGATGGCAACAAATTCCCCTCCCTCGAGGTTGTTCTTCAGACTACCCCTCCCGAAGAAGAACAGAGATGGTAGCGGCTCCATGAAGCGAAAAGTTCACATTAAGGGTTTCAGGGATGAAGGAAAATATAGGCCAAAGAGGGCGTAAGGCGGTGGACAGGGACCCACGCGGTCTTGTGGCTCCATAGCTCTTTTCTCCCAAAATAATTGTAAATTTTTGGTAATTTTTTGGGCATCTTTATTTCTACACAAAAAGTAGGACCATGGGAAATTCTATTGAAACGACCTTAGGGCATGGCCAATGCATAGCCTCATGGTGATGCCTCATGTGCCATGTAGGATCGGATGTCAGGGAAAGTAGGTCCGGATAGAGAAGCGGGATCCTCTGTAAGAGGCGGGTGCTTGAGGAGAAAAAGTATGACCTGGTGTAAAAAATTGAAGTGAAGAGAAGGGATGCATGTGTAGTAATGGTCTACTTCCCTCCGGTTCTTTTTACTCCGCGTATTAGATTTGTGTCAAGTCAAACTTTACAAAGTTTGACCAAATTTATATTCAAAAAATATCAACATCTACAATACCCAATATATATACTATGAATCTACATTTCATAATGAATCTAACAATGTTGATTTGGCATTGTGAATGTTGATCATTTTTTCTATAAATTTGATCAAAGTAGAGATATGTTGATTTGACAAAACTTATATGCAGACTAAAAAGGATTGAAGGGAATACTTTCTATCCTTTGATAAGGTCCACTAACAATAGCCTGCGTTGGGAAGAAAAAATCAATACAGATGCCATTACACATGTCCTTAGTAGTGGGGACGGTTTTACCAACTTTCCCAGCTCCCGTCCAAAGCTTTCCATAATGTGTGTCAGCGCGTATATAAATCTTTTGGCCGCATGCACGTACCAGGCTGATAATAAACGGAGACTGTGCAGATGAGGTAAGATCGATCACAAAAACAGGCAAGTCGGAGTCAGCAAGCATTAACTTGACCCGCCGATGCAGCAGCTGAGCCTGAGCAGCTCCATTTATGCAGTTCTCGCGATGGATGGAGAGACAGCATGCGTACCTAACCTATACGAAGGCCGGAGTGTGCCAAAGTTAGTTCTTCCTCCGGAAGAAAAAGCAGTTACCACGACCTCCGATGGTTCGCACCTCCGATGTTTAGCTGGCACCACAAGCAAGGATAGGGGCGGATGCAAAGCAGGTCGAAAGCGCTGAAACCGGCGGCAACCGTATGCGCACGTACGTACGTCCGTGTGGCGCACCGCACGGCTGCGCCACGGAAAATCGTCGTTGCCCTTGATGGCGCGCGTGACCGAACGCGGTATTAACGGTGGTGGGTACGGCGCAGCTGTCCGGCCCGTGAATAAGGTTTGTCATCAGCTTCCGTCTCTCGAGAAGCATCTCACCTGCGACCACATATACACAGCTGTATGCTGGCGCGTATCCAGTTCCAATTTCTGCCAGTGCGCCTTCTTTCGGGAGTGGCTACCTAGCTAAGCTAGCCAGGAGTGGAATGCGGAGGTGGACGATGAGGTTTTGCCTCGGAGTTAGCGGGAATCTTAATATTTCTTCACGCACACGCCTCAGCGCTCCATCACATGCCGTCCAGGAGTACTCGTAGGGACTATCTGCAGGGCTGTTGAGCATTGATTCATGCGTGTACGTAGGTCCAAAACGGTCGCGATCCTTGTACAGCTGGGGCGCGTACGAGCGACGCACGCCGGACGTATAGCTGTCGTGAGTACGTTCGTACGTTCGGCTGGGGCAGGGCCAGGATATACAGTGCTCCGGTTGATGACACAGTTCGGCTGTCGTGAGAACATCAAAGGGGTTTCGTTTGGGAGAGGTGGACCAACGATCACTCATTTACTCTTTGCCGATGATAGTGTGGTATTTGTGGAGGGGCTGAGAGAGAATTTTGAGGCTTTGCGCCATATCCTGGTTGATTATGAAGAGGCCTCGGGGCAAAAGGTAAATCTCCAAAAGTCAGCGGTGTACTTTGGCAAGGGTACTTTGGATGGTGATAAGGAGGAACTCAAACATGTGTTGCAAATTTCGGAGGAGGCACTGAGTGAACGGTATTTGGGGCTACCCACGGTGGTGGAAAGATCTAAGGACGGTACTTTCAAATACGTTAAGGATAGTGCGAAAGGGAAAGTGTCAGGATAGAAGGGTCAAGGCTTGTCTAAGATGGCGAGAGAGGTACTTGTCAAATCCGGTCTTCAGTCAACACCGACTTTTACCATGACCTGTTTCCAACTCACAAAGAAAATGTGCGGGAACCTGTCTACAATTTCTTCAAACTTCTGGTGGGGTGAAACTGATGGTAATAAGAAAGTGCACTGGATCGGTTGGGATAAGATGTGTATGAGCAAGAAGGATGGGGGGCTTGGGTTTAGAGACCCGGAAGCTTTCAATCAAGCTATGCTTGCAAGACAAGCTTGGCGTTTACTTCAAGTACCAGATTCTTTGTGTGGAAGGGTCTTAAAGGCGAGGTATTTCCCTGACGGAACGATCTTAAACGCCACATGCCCAGACGGGGGATCATACACGTTCCGAAGTATCTTACACGGCCGCGATCTCCTGAACGATGGGCTGATTTGGAGGATAGGCGATGGATCGCATGTTAAGATTCATCACGACAATTGGTTGCCAAGGAATGGAAGTCTCAAGCCACTGGGCCAACACTATATCGCCGGTTACACACGCATGGGGGACCTGTTGGAAACTGATGGCCGCTCATGGAACAGAAGAGCGATGATGGAAATGTTTGCACCGGATGAAGCTCTAGAGATTCTGCAGATTCCAGTAGGTGGTCCGGATGTTCAGGATTACCTGGCCTGGAACTACACCAAAAACGGGATATTTTCAGTCCGGTCAGCATATCATCTTCGGATGAGCCAGAAGCGGATGAGAGCCGGACAGCCGGAATCCTCATCATCAGTGGCAGATCACAAGTCCTGGTTGAGCCTGTGGGATACGGTAGCGCCGGGCAAGGCAAAAATTCACATGTGGCGTTTGATAAGGAACGGACTGGCAGTTGGTGCAGAGCTCCTTAGGAGGAAGATCAAAGCAGGTGTGTTCTGCACGGCGTGCGGGCGTGAGGAAACGAACCTGCACAGATTTTGGGGTTGCTATCACTCTAAGAAATTTTGGACGATAATGCAGTCGGAGTTGGGAGTACCGGTGGCGATCCCACCGGAGTCAATCTATTCCCAGAGTGCGTTATCTAGGTGGCTACTATCGTGGTTTGCGGATGCCTCGGATGATGAGCGGGCTGTTATGGTGCAGGGTGTATATGCACTCTGGCTTGCCAGAAACAATGCTCGTGATGGACAGAGGATTGAAGAGCCGGAGCCGATCGCGCAAAGGGTGTTTAATTTGATCTCAGAGTGGCAGGCGATCCATGGACGCAAGAGCAAGCAGGCTAGACCTGTTGTGAAGGAAAGATGGAAACCCCCGGATGAGGGCTGGATCAAGCTCAACGTCGATGGTGCAACTAGTAAGGGCGGCGAGATCGGTGGTGCTGGGATGATTTTCAGAAATCATGATGGAGCATACTTGGGTGGTGCATGCCACGCCCTCCCACTGGGGAGGGACCCGGAGCGTTGTGAGCTCTTGGCATGTAAGAGAGCTATCCAAATGGCGAACGATCTGCATGTTACAAAGATACACATTGAAATGGACTGCAAGTCGATTGTCAGCAAACTCCAGAGTGAGCAGAAGGATCTCTCACCGATAGGACCAATCATCGAAGAAGTTCGGCAGATGTTGGCCTCGATGGAAAGCTGGAGAATTGCTTGGGTAAGGAGAGAAGCTAATGGTGCTGCTCATCTGCTTGCTAAGGAAGCAGTTTCGAATAATGTTTGCAAGGTGTGGCTGCATGTGCCCCCAGATTTTATTTTGCGTACTGTTTCAGATGAAATCCCCACGCGGGAGACCTAAATAAAGCTTTCATGTGAGTTTCAAAAAAAGACACAGTTCCGAGCGACCCCAATAATTTTGCCGGGGACAGCGTATAAATGGGAGCTCGGGGGACCAACGGACCGGCTCGTGCGCACGTACATCACGCATGTGCGGACAAAGTGTCATCCACCGGAAAA